TCACATCCCTGCCACTATAGTAGTCCATGTTAAATGCAAACTGGAGGCCGTTGCAGGGCTCCAGCCGACTGTGTACAAAGTACAACATGTCTACCAATTAAATGTTATATTTCATCTGAGAGTATGGACCAACATTACATTATCAATGAATTTGTTGGTGGTGCGCGCTTGCATGCCTTCGGTTGAAGTTTCACCATCACTGAACAAAAGCACAATGGTTTCACATAGTCAAGTGAATGCTCCCAAACCTGATCTGGCTTGGGCTTGCACTACTGCTGCTGCGGTAAATCTAACGTGTTCCTCTCCTCCAGTCCCAATGAGCTACTTCGGAAACGCTATCCACGTCCTTCCTGCAAGGGAAGTTCCGCCATGTCTGAGTAGAGCGGGCAAGAAAGGTAGCGTTTTGCATGCCCAGCAAGGTTAGGGGTCCTTGCATCGCTCGTTGCCTCTGCACGGCCCCTGCAAGACACCAGGTACATGTACCGCGTAGTGGCATCGTCGGGCAGCTCCCGGGCCTGGTGACGGACTTCCAGATGAGAGCCGAGAGGAAGCTGCTGGCCGGGCCGAAGCCAAACGGACCTACCCAATTCCCGATGAGCTGACGGTGATGGTCTTCTTGCGATAACTGGAAGCTGCGTCAACGATCTGGTACTTCTCGGTGTCCTGTATTGGTGGCTTGGAACAGCTCGGCCTGGAAACAGCGATTCCCCGGTGGATCGGCGACCAAGCATGGAAGAGACACAGAGTAGCTGTCTGCTACAGTCTCACACACAAGGCAAAGTGTGATTGGCTGGATCCATTCCCGTTTTTTCGTGCGATGCGAGGAAGTGGCTTTGTGGCTGTGGTGGCAAAGAGTAATGCCACCACAGCCAAAACGAATCATCTTATAGTCGTAGCGGACAAAAGGTTTTTGCCTGTAGGTAGGCCAGGTTTGATGCCTGGCAGAGCTTGGACGATTGCTCCATTGAGCAGCAGCTCAACACCCAAGACAAGCAAAGACATAGTAGTCCGAGAGGGCGTGAGTGGGGGAGAGCTTGAGCTTGGAAATGGGCTCTGGATCTTTTGGTGATGGCAAGTAGTAGTACACGTAAGACAGGAGATCATGTTGGAGAGGGATTTCCAGCAGGGCTGTGGAGTTGGCGACGCAGGTGTGACATTCTAGATGTGAAGCAGGGATATGGAAGCCATGATCACTACTTGGATTGATGGAAAACTATCCTCCCTTGATCGAACTCATACAAATGAGATGCATGTTGTGTATAGGCTGAAAACATTATTCGTCAAAATGCACTTGTTGTTAATTCTGGTAGGCAATTAATCTCGTTGCATACGCAGAGATGAAAACAATGATCTGAGTGGGTATATGTTTAAAAGACTGCTACTTGATTGTCACAAAATTAGCACGTCATTGTTTAAGTTTTTCAAGAGAGACACGCCATTATCGTTAAATTTCCAAACAAAAGAAACGCACATTAGCTGGAGACGCTCTTGACGGTTGGAGCGTAGTATCCAGCCATGGAGCTCCCATTGCTATACGAAACCTGCTGCTGCTGGAGGTGCTGGTCCGAGTAGAGAGGGGATCGTTGTTTAGCCTTGACATGCCTCGGCGACTGATGTGAGTAACTTGGCAATGCTGCGCTGCCACCTTCGTGAACTAGATATGTCGACACTCCCTGAGGCTTTGGAAGGCCGGTGGAGTCTTGAAACAGAGCCTGCCCGGGCCTGGAATGCGCGTCCGCGTCGACTGGAAGGTCTTCTAGTGTCTGTGGTCGAGGAAATAAAACTCAAACAAGCTGAAAAGGAAACATGACAAAACACTTACCACCACCGCTTGCTGCAGCACCCGCAACACTTCCCTGCAATGCTTCCGCCGGCTTGCAATGTCGTCTCTTTCTTGGAGCATTTCTTCGAACAAAACCTCCCTGTCGCATAAAAAGTTGAATTGCATCTTTGGAAGAAGTTCTGATTACCTGTACAGTTTCTTAATCAGAAGATTGAGGAGTTCACGCTTGACATGGCCAACCTACAAACGTGCATGAGGCGAAGAACAGCAAGGTACAAAAAAAAGCTCACCAGGAAATGCATGATTGCCTTGGGTACCGCATCTTGGATATTTTTCCTCACAATTTCGTAGTAGGACTTGAGCAACAATCGCGTCACTGCAACCTCGACTCTTTCCTGCTCTGTTTGAGCGTCAGTGGCTCTCAAAATACCTGGCGGCTACATTGGACAGAGTAAACATTCATGCATGAAATATCGAAAACAGTGAGCACACCTCTTTGAGAATGATGGTGGAATATTTTGTTTCAAGGTCTTGTAATGGCTCGGGAAACGCTTTCACGATTACTGGGTCTTTGCTCTGTGCTTTCTCATGATGTCCGAATATAGAAGATATACCCCACGTAGACGAGCTTTCCGTACCTTTGGATGAGACTGAGGATTTTCAAAGTAAGAAGACAAGCAGATTGCCTACCACCTTACCTGAAGGAACCGCAGGCTTGTCATGTTGAGCCGTGGTCGGACGCGCACTCTGAGTTACTAGTTTAGCTCAAAGCAAACAGTCACAGCAGCAAAAATACCTTAGGAAGCCGATCTGCACCAGACTCCTTCCACTCCAACGCATCCTGTCAGGATAGACGCTAGAGCAATGCTATTTAATGCTATTTATCAGAATACATGTACCTTAGAACCACGTTGCTGTTGTAGGGCAGTCTCTACTGCCTTGCTACCACCGATAAAACGTGGATGTGAGGTGTTAATATAATCCATCTGAGAACGAAACCACAATAAATCACCAATTTTGTACAAACAAAGAAGAAAATACCTCCATGTCAACAAGGTGAGATATCATTGTCTCAGTTGGAGTAAGCCCCTCACGCAAACATGTAGATACAGCCTCTTCTATTCGCCGTCGCAACACAGGAAACCTTTGCAATTCATTTGTCTCACATCTGTGTGACATCTGGAAGTATTGATCATCAGTACCGGTACAGTAGCACTGAGCCTTACCTTCACAAGTTCGTCATATATAAAACGAGCACACTGCAGACAAGGATCTAACAATCGCTCAATCTGCCTTCTTACAAGAACTTCGAAAGGAACCTGGATAATGGGTCTAGCATCACAAATAATAAAGCGGAAGCTTCACTCACTTCTGGGACAAAGAGAATCATTTTTGGACCCGTGGCATTTTGAATAGCAGTGCGAATGTCTTCGTCGGTGAGATCATCACAAGGATCAACTTCCTAGTGCAGAATGGTATTAGTGACCAGCCTTGTGCATTAATCTTACCTCTAGACTTTTAACGAAAATGGATTGAAAAATGTAGTGTATGCGAGCACCACCGGAGAGTTCAGAGGTCGACATTTCCTGATTTTTACCATCAATAACCGACGAAAAAACTGTAGAAACGCAGTTAAAAATGATATTTCAACATTACAGAAAATACCATGAAAATATTTTGTAAGAGCATTTAGCAGCATAGCCCCCTGTCCGGACTGGAAACGAAAATCGATTAGGTAGTGACAAAAAAATTTAAAGCCGGCTTACTTACTTTAGAGTCTGTTGCTTCACCATAGCTTGTAAGCTCTTTCAACAATGCGACCATTTGCGTGTTGATTCTTGTCTTTAATTCGGGAAGAACAGTCTTGATATGTTGCACTAAAATCTACGAAAGACGTGAGCCTTCAAGTTAACCTTAACTGGTTCAAGTTCGTACTTGATTAAGCTTTTTCGCGAGTTGAGGGATGCCACATCTATCCAGAATGCTTTGGTACACCTGAAAAGTAAAGAGTTATTGATAACAATGAATATGAATCTCACCGCTCAACTTCGGAAAAAATGCTCTTCCGCAACAAGAGCATCCTTGATCGGTTTGTTGGCATAAATATCCTGCAACCATGCTTCATGAGAATTTTCAAACAAAAGAATGGCGAGCGAAAGACCTCTTGACTTCGATTGACCACGCCAACATAGCCTAGACGAAGTGGAATCACCGTTCCAAGAAGAATACTCCGCGCATCAGTCCCTCGATCCATTATATCTAGCTGCAAACAGAGGTGAATCCGAAAAGTTAAATGAGTACCTACCTTGGTGACGACTCCAATCGTTCTAGATCCTAACAAGTCATCAAGGAGCATTACTCAAGCCATGAAACACAAGATTGAAAGCATACCATCCGGATCGACAAGTTTGGCCATTTGGAGCGAGTCTGAGTTTGAAAGATCAGTGTTTGCGGGCGAGACAGCAAGAATGATACACGTCGCATGCTTGATATACGACAGGATCATTGCTCTGATGCGACTTTCTATGTCCGAAGGCTGATCACCGACTGGAACTCTCGTCAACCCCGGGAGATCCACCAGCGTGATATTCAAAACATTGGGCGAAAAGATTTTCAGTCTGATTTGCTTGTCGGACACTCCTTTCTTGTCACCAAGTTCTCGTTCTGTCTCGGCCTAACAAAACAGAAAAAAGAAAACAAATCTCATGAGCTCGCATCGCAACGATAAGCTTACCTGGATTTCCTTGCGAATGTGTGAGAAATCCGTGAATCTCCGTCCAGGGAGGTGCAAAAACTCCCCCCACTCCGAGAACTCGCGGTCGTCCATTTTTCTTTGGACGTGAACAAGCTGCAAAACAAGTGGCCGCCGCGTGCAAATGTCGGGACCCCGAGGAAGAAAATCTCGCCCGACGAGCGCTTCCATGACGCTGGATTTACCGCTGCTCTGGCTCCCCACCACCGCTACCTGCGGCAGATCCACTGTGGAGGGACTGCCCAGCTGCGCGAAGATATCCTGGAGCTTGTTCATGATCGGGATCACGGACTGGCCAAGAAATGCTGGAAGCGCGGTGGGATGTGGAGGCGATCCCGAGCATGGCGACCCAGGAGTGGAGCTGGAGGGAGTGGATCCCTGCGACATTGTGTCCCTACCTGGAGCCGCGAATCGCGATTGCGAAGAACCCTAGACTGTGACGAGCCGTTGGAACCCTAAATCTTTAAACTCCAAATGTTGAACCTTTTATCCAGTTTTCTTCTGGGAATGATCCAATGAATTTATGACAAGGTTGGAATGTTTTCTAGTGGTGAGAATCAATTCAGCGTTTGGGCGATCATTGTATTCCACCTGCAAGAAAAAATAAAATCTATCAGCACTTCAACCACAAAATTACAGAGATCTTACTCTGTTCTTCGCATGTTCTTTGGTTTTCCCTGTAAGAGAGAGAGAAATAAAAATAAAAATGACCACGATTAGTTTTGGAATAGATCGAACGCATGCCTGTTGATATGTGGCGAAGCTCCACTCTTTTCATGGCCGTGTCAAGGTCAAGCGAAATAAACCTGGAAATTTCGAAGCTTTAAACTCTACGATAAATGGAAAGGCGAATCTTACCATCGTTCATCAAACAAGTTCTTTAGTTCTTTCCACTCGCCATCTTCAAGCAAAAGATAATTCCCTTCCACAAGCACAACCTTATGTCTTGATAATTAAAAGAAAAACTACAAGGTTAAAGGCGTGCTCGAGTGAACTCATACAGAATAGAAATACTTACTTTGGTGATACCAAAATGTCTTGCTCCACAGGATCGCCAACGCCATGATCAAAAGATGGGAAATATGCCCATTGCTGGAACATCCTCACATTGTAAAAAAGAAGAAAAAGAAAAAAAGAAAAAAAAAATCTCAGAAACTTTTTACCTGACTCCTCAAAGCTTTCAAACAATCAACCAGACCCGAGGGATTGAATGTCCAGGGAGCTGAAACAAAAAACATTGAGGATTACACAAGAACTTTCAAAAATATTATTATTTTTTCAACTCACCGCCTCTTCGAGCATGGGCTTCCTCTGGATCCTGGCGACGAAAACAAAAGAGTTGGCCCATTAATTTAAAGCAATTTCATACCTCCATGGCATCAAGCTGGTGCTTGTAGAGATGAAATCCATCCATGGGAACTGCGATTGCAATCTCGGATACTAGTCCCGGATTCCTCTCCTGATGCAACTTATTCACTCTGCCAGAGACTTCGTTCGCCAGTGTGGATTTTCCAGCTCCAGGAGGCCCAGCAATTCCAACCAAGTATCTAGAAAAACATTGGCATTGTCACCCAGAAACCATTTTAATGATCTCCCAGAAACTTTGTTCCCTCCAAAACTTACTTGCTGCCGGGTTTCGCGGAAGAAGCTCCAAACAGCCTGTGAGCGAGTAGATCATATGTTTCGTGCATGGTACTAAAAATATCACGGATAAGAACCAAGAGGCTTGATTTAGAGTGATTACCTTGCTTGAAGAGTTATTTGCTCATCCACGGTACTACAGAAGATCTGGAAAATTATCCATAGTCGTCTCAAACATGACAACAATCTGATCAGAGAAAAAGAACCTTTAGAGGCGAAGTTCTCCTCGTTTTATACTGGATTGGAATTCCCAGCGAGAACCTCGAATTTGGATGATAGACTCGACGAACAAAAGCCTTGGAAGAACACGAGGGATCGGCTGCTCCATAGCCGAGGAAGCTCCCATGGCTAGAAAAAAATCAAACGAACCAAACGAATAGATCGAATCAAAACGAATGAGGCTTACACCAAAGCCGCCGTTGGCTCCATCCCAATGATCAAAGGCGATAAACTTTAGGGTTCTAACGGCGGTTGCCACGTAAGCAGGAGCATATTCTCTGGACAGCACTAGGGTTTAGAGCGAGCTCTCCTTTAAGCGCTAAATGAGAGAGGAGAATCCAAATGGCCGCTGTTCAGAAGCTCTACGAGGCGTGCAAGATTTCGCTCACCTCCGCCGCCACCGCCACCGCCGCGCCATCGCCGCTGGTCGTGAGGAAGATCTGCCACATTCTTGGTAAGGAAATCCTCGTTTTCCCTCGAAATCTCTCCGGGCACTCTCCAAATTCACGGCTTTCCTTGCATGCCGCATCGGTCCGAGCAGACGGCATCACTTGCCCCGATGTGGGACTGAGCGAGGAATCGGTGAATCAGCTCAATCGCGGCCTGGGATTCTTTGGCGGCCAGAGGGGGCGGCACTCGAGCATGGCCGCTCGCTGGGCACCGCCAATCTCTTATCTCCATCTCCACGAGTCCAGCAATTTCTCGGTGAGTTCCTCGTCTCCTTTTCCTTAGTCGCAAAAGAAAATCGTTTTTTGCTCTCGCGAAGAGAATCAACTGGGATTCTTTCCTTTGCAGTACAGATGGGGATTTTTTGTCTGCCAACCTCATCCGCAATTCCTCTCCACGATCATCCGGGAATGACTGTGTTTAGCAGACTCCTCTATGGGACACTACATGTAAGATCTTACGACTGGGTCGATAAGCAACCGTGCTCCGATCCATCAAAACGTAAGTTCTCTCTTCTCTCTCTCTTCTCTCTTCTTCTCTTCCAAGTGTTCTAAGGTCGTTTCTTCCCTTCCTTTTGCAGCTAGACTAGCGAAGCTAGTTCTGGATCAAGTCATGACCGGTCCCTGCGACTCGGTTGTCTTGTATCCCAATTCTGGAGGCAACATTCACGCCTTCACTGCGATAAACTCGTGCGCCATCCTCGACGTTTTAGCACCGCCATACTGCCCTTCCACCGGTAGGCACTGCACATATTATCGAGCGTTCCCGTACTCTAGTTTGGCCGGTAAGTCTTCGCAAATTGACCTCTTTCATTGTTTTTCTCAGCTTTTTCGACCTTCGCAGCTGAGATGCACGACGATAACAACGATTACGACGACGAAAATTATGTCTACTTGGTCGAATATAAACCCCCGGACGATTTTGTTGTCCAAAATGGCGTGTACACGGGTCCGAAGGTGAAGCCTTGAAGTAATCCAATGCTTGCTATTGACAGTGGAGCTCGACCGAGTTTTTACAGCAGGGGCGTGTGTATTTGAGACGTATCACTTTGGTTTTTCTTTCTTTTATGTACAGGATGGCTGAGAGTACCATCAAACTATTGTCCAGTCGCCACTCTCGGTGGAGCACAGCTTCTTCTCTTCGCCTTCAATTGGACTTGGAGCCTGTTTGTTCTTTCTATCAAACTTGGACTCGAAGAACTTGACGACGCTGCTCACTGCATTGTGGTGATTGCTGCTGGGAGGATGCTGCTGGTGCTGGTCCTCGTACGAGGTCTGCTTCTTTTGCAGTAACTTCCGGATATCGGCCAAGATGGTCTTGGACTCGGCCTTTCCAGCGAGCTCCTCTGATGGTGCTCGGATCGCCCTCTCCATAAGTTCATACACCTTCGCAAAGAATAAGGAAGAGTACTAAGGCTTGTGAAATGAAGGAAATACATCTACCTCGCACAGATCTTCTAGAGTTCCGGAATCCATATGCCTGTGACATGTGGAGAGTATATAGTCCCGGCATTCCTTAAGACATCGTTGCAGAGGATCCTTCGCAGCTGATGGGTTTGCTTCAGCTATGGCGAATCCAGCGCTTACCTGTTAAGAGTTTCTACTGCTTACAACAAGGAAAAAAGAAATAGCAGACTCACAGCTGTTGTAAATAATTGCTCGAAAAAATCACCAGGACTAATCTTTTCTAGCGCCTCCAGGGTGCTCTCACTGGAAGAAAACAGTTAAGCTAACCACAACAACGATGGCAACAGTAATACCCTGCTAGTTCTTCGTCGAACAGAGGCGCTTGCATCACGGCTGGAACTGGACGCGCTGACAACCAAAGCTCTTGCCACAAGTTACCTGTTGTTAGAGATGTATGTTAAGAATTTGCAAATTTTGAGAGCCTCTCGTGATTGAATACCTTCACTTCTCATCCTTGTGCTGAGGGAGCCCCGAAGCGATGGCTCATCGCCCTTTCCTACCGGATTTTCTTCTGTCCAGTCGAGCGGCGAATACCATCGGACAAAGTCTTCCAGGATACATCCGGGATTAGCAGCCTGCAACAACATCCAATGCTATATAAAACGTCCTTCGAATTTATCAAAGAAGCTCACCTTGAACGCTTGCATGTCGGAAAACAGCTGCGAGCACCCAGCGCCAAAACTGCAGTAATTCCATTTACCACGCAGAGAAATAGAAACAAGGAAACAAAAGTGTTATACGTTACCTTCCAGTCCGCAGCACCAGCTCCTCGGTTTCTTTGATCAATTCTTCAGTCAGAACAGGCCCTTCCTACAGATCACAACAATGAGAAATTCGCAAGGACAGAAAGAACGCATCTAATACCTGTGTGACGGGAGAAAATATTGGCTCGCCAGTTTCCAACATTATCAGATTTTCCGCTCGTCGATCCACACAATACCTCGGAACCACCTGGCCATCTTTGAGTCTGGCGAAGTGCATATCCGGGTTATCACTTCCAGAGTCTGTAGGAAAGCGCTCCTGTGGAGCGTTCAAAGAATCCAAGGCAGCACATCGCCGATGCCTCCTTGCAATGCAGCAATTCAATACTTGTAATTGTTGAAAGAGAAGGCAGTAATTTAGATCGGGGCTAGAATCCTTTGGCATGCGAGGAATTGGTTGTCCCTCCTCCCAGCGTCGCCTGCACTGTTCCAAAAATTTCAAGGATCCTCGACATAAAAAGTTAAAAGCATAAGTACCTCTTTCATGACCTCTAGCCAAAACTCTGCCATCTTGTGCTCGACTTTCAGACCAGCAATAACTTCTGCTAGCTGTGAAACAAAGCTTTCAGGAGGAGCACCGTGTAGCTCCTCGGGAAGCTTGTGCTGGCTAGAGAACTTCTTGAAACTGCCTTGATGTTGAGTTTCTGCAATGTCTCAAAGAATTATATCGAGCAAAAGTTTAAACAACGGCACTACCTGCGTCAAAAAGCGACCACAATAAAGAATGGTACCTTCCAGAACTCCGAATTTGCGTTTTGGTCCTTTTATCCTTTTCCCGTAAAGAGATCTTCTTTAGTCCCGAGACAAGAGATGACCAGTCACTAGGGTCTTTATCCGTGATCTCGGACAAAGCCAAGTCCTTGCAAGTTTCGAAACACCTTCCAACTCTAAAATTCGGACAGAGATCAAATTCCTTCGGGAAAGAAAAAGAAAAAAGCACGTACTCGGTTGCAGAAGCGAGACGTCTCACAAGAATAGATGGAGGTATAGCAGCCACAGTGACGGCCTTCTTATATGCCTCCTCCTCAGCCGGATCCTTTGTGGGACTCTGCGGAAAAGCAAACATCTCATGTAAGCTCTCGTAAGCAGCATCTCCCATGTCGAGAACCTCTCTGGCAATGCTAGCAACGGGATGTACGGTCTCGTTCGAATATAAACCCCGTTTAACTCGCCTGACAGCTGCAAAGTACCGCCTCCAAAATTCCTTCTCCTTCATCGCTTTGGGAACAAAGTGAAAACGCAGACCCTGAAGGTCTTTGTCTAGCTGACAGTTGAAAAGATTTTAATTCCTCGGTAAGATGAAAAGAACAGTTCCAGTACCTCCAAGATACGCATCGCAGCTTCCATGTCAACTTGCATTCCCCCATCCGGTTCGCAGTAAAGAAAATCCGAGCTCTGCGAGAACAGCTAAGACACCTGCACCAGAGATGAAAGAACCTCCACGTACCTTGGAAACTTCCAGGATTCTTCTGCGGCATTCCTCTTCGAGACCCTTTTCCAGCTCCGTTTTCCCGACCCAAGGAAGCTCTCCCGGCTCATCTAAAACATAAAAAATAAACTCTCTCCAAACCTTCGAATGAAAAACAAACAAAGTCACACAACCTTGTGCGTGAGAAGAAAACTCCGATACAAAATCCGCCTTGATTTCAGTCAGCACGCGCTCCGCCTTGGCCGCAGCATTCTGGAAAGCTGGGCAAACGATCGATCGATCCAAAGAAAAGCAAAGAAAATGGAATGATCACCTGTTTTGGCCTTGGACACGAATTTGGACTCCATCCAAGCGATCGCCCGCCTACATTGCAGCTGAGGCGATCGATCCAATCCCCGTCCGGCGCGCCGATCCACCCCCGAGAGAGAGAAACCACAAAACACCAAACCCTAGCCTCTATTTCTCCGTTTTACAAAGTCAATAAAAAAAACGGAATATGCTTTGGAGCATAAGTTTTAGCATATTCTCGCAATAACCCAAATAGTGTCACGCGTTCTTCTCAATGTTTCCTTGACGGCTCAATCATATGAATGGCGTGTCAAGCAAATCAACATTATATTTATTTATCAATGCGATTCTCCCTCGATTATATCTTCCTCGATCCTTTCACTTTCAATCACCTGGATCAGGGCGGTGCTACATGTCCAAAAATCCGAGGAGCGATCCAAGAGTGCGTGTTCTTTTTCCTAATCTTCAATTCTCTGGTGATAAATCTCCCACCACCCTTTCCAGCATCATAGCACTGCATGCGCGTTATGTGGTTTACGTGGCATTTGATCCAGTCAAGAAAATCGATCCGGGCAAAGTCCGTCCCAAATGTTTTTTGATCCTTTGGAAATGGAATATCAGTGAAAAAACTTTATGTGTTTACAGGTGTTAAAAAACTGGCGAGTTGTTTGCGTGTATAAATGTGGCACCGTGGCTTGATCCCGGACCTATCGCAGCGCTTTCCTCGATCTAGCAATCTCCCCCTTCCTCCTCTTCGTCTTTATCGTAGAATTCTTGCCCACTCTATCCTTTTGATCGTCATCATCATCGTCAATCACCTGAAAGCAACGAAAAAATCTCGCAAAAAGGATTAGCTAGAAATGCCTCTCCAGGACACTTTCCCAAATTCTCTAGACCTGGAGCAAGGTGACAACGCCATCATTGCGGTCGGCGGCGACAAAATCCAAAGCCGCCCAAGAAGCTTGGAACTCTTGAAAAAGGTTTGGTGATGATCATCATCGCAAAAACTTTATAAACTGGGGCAATTAACGATGTGTTCCTTGGATTCGTTCGTGAAGGTCTTGGCGGAGTTCTTGGGCTCTCTCGTGCTCCTCCTCGGCTGCGCGGGCACCGCGATCCTGGCGAGCAAGCCATCCAACGGCTTTGGGATACATGGAATCTCGGCCGGGGCCGCATTGACGGTCATGATCGTCATCTTCTCCACTGGACACATCTCCGGTGCCCATGTCAATCCAGCCGTCTCTCTCGCCTTTGCCTCGCTCGGCCGATTCCCATGGATACAGGTTCGAAGCTCCTGTCCCGTTTCTATCTAATCGCTAAACTCTGTTTCTTCTCTTGTTCTATTTGAAAGGTTCCACTCTACTCTGGAGCGCAGTTCCTGGGATCTGTGTGTGCCTCTTTCCTGCTCAACGCGTTATTCCAGGGAGATCCAAACATCCATGCCGGGGTGACCGTCCCCTCCAACACCGAGTGGCAATCCTTCGCGGTGGAGCTCGTCATATCTGCCATCTTGATGTTTGTTGTTACAGCAGTGGCGACGGATCCACATGCAATTGGAGACTCGGCAGCGGTGGCAGTGGCCGCTACAGTCTATCTCAACAATCTCCTTGCCAGGTTTCTAGTTCTCTTCGATCTTCCTCTTCTTGCTTGATTAGCAAAGTTGGTAGTTCTTTTATCCAGCATTCTAGGAAGAGAGATTCACCCTTTTCTTTGCTAGTTGACAAGTTTGGTGGTATTGTTTAGTGCAATCTCTGGAGCTTCCATGAATCCCATTCGGACATTTGGTCCGGCTCTTGCTGCTGGAGAATACAGAGGATTGTGGGTGTACTTCTTTGGGCCGATTTTGGGAACTCAACTGGGAGCTGGATTCTACACTTTGATCCGCTCCAGCTGATTGTCAGCCAAGAAAGTTCTATCAAAAAACCTACACCATGTAAATCGTTATACAAATTTGAAAAATTCCAGTTTTGTGACCTCGAAAGAGCACAAGTAGAATAGAAAGACATTGACACGAGATTTGGTGATTATTCCCGTGGCTCTGGCTCGGTTGAAATCACAGAAATCTTTGGTGTGGAACCCGCGATCCAGCAACTGGCTGGAAAATGGTCGGTCCAATATGATTCGCAAATTATAATGAACTTTTCCCTTTGGAAAGACTTTTTTCTCGCTTGGCCGAAACGAATTTTCCTATACAAGACAATGGCTACGAATCGAGCTTGCTCTGTACAATTCACGAATCAATTCGTGCAGTGCTGAGAAAGCTTGCGTATGAAAACATGTTTCAGGAGAGATTGACATTGATCGAAACGCATCTTGGGTATTGAAAAGTTGCTAGGGTGTGAACGTTCGTCGGCCAGATTGATCCATGGATGGATGGAGGCTGGAATCTAAACTTTCTCTCATTGTGGGGTACGAAACTTTACCCCTTCTTTCGGTCCACTTGCAAGGACATTGCTGGATTCATGGAGACATAGCCTAGCTAGTGCTTTAAGCGCTTGCAGATTGAATTTTTGCAGGATCAAACCCATTGGTTGTAATTAGAGGAATATTTATTATCTCCACCGCCCAACGCTTAGCAATGGCAGATGCTGTTCAAGAGAGTGTGGCACCACTGGTGGGTATGGGAGATCATAGCAAGGTCGACCTCCCTGGTGGAGCTACTTTGCAAGCAATGCAAGAACTATCTTGTGGAGGTAACGCAAGACATCATGAGGACGACATCGAGACATGGATGAAAGCTTGAGGGCGGCCCTCCCCAGCAACCAGGCAGATGAGGCTCTGCTCAATCTCAAACATTGTAGCCAGGGCTTCAATCGCAGCATTGACCAGGGCGGCTAAGCATGCGGTAATCCAGATGCTTGTTTGCGAGAAAGTGCCCTGGGGTCTGTCATCAGTGATCAGTGTTCGCAACCAAAGGCTGAGGCATGAGGCATCGCAACACCAGGCCATACTTGTGGGACAGAAGAAGTGGATCGATTGGCACCGCAGACTTACGTTGTGATGCGGTGGATGGTTCTACTGCTCACACAATTCAAAGTTACAGGGAGAGTACCCGAGTTTCTACGAGGAGAAGAGAGGTTCTTAAGCTTCCAACATCCTCGGCATTACCTCGAATGAGCCAGGTCAGTTCTCATGTTTCCATGGAGGCCTAATTTTATCCTATGCTGATTTCTGCCTAGACAATGACAGTATCAAGGTCAGCATCAGTACTTTTTGCTGGCTGATACCACGCTATGTGAAGCCATTGCGGGAATTCGACACCTGTTGCTGCATACATCACGATCAAATGGACCTCATGCACAGTGGTTTGATGAGACTAAGAAGTTCTTGCAAGGAGGCCCATAGAGCACCTTGTTTATGCCCGTGTGGCCAGTGGACAGGGAATGGCTGCTCTGCTAATGTACAACATTGGGGAGAGCGTCTTTTGTCCGAAGCTAGCCGGAGTCCTCGTGGTACTACGTGTGGGCGGGCACGAGTACACATCCATGCAGCATGTTTGAGTGCAATGATAGGAATATTCTGTCCAAACATCCAACTTTAACATGGTCTTGGAGGCACGAAACAATACAGGGAGTGAATTTCTGCTTGCGTTCAAGTCTGGGCTTGCATGTTACATTCCACATGCTTCACAGGTGGTTATTTGGATATTAATCATATGAAGAAAGTAGGGAATGTATATAGCACTTTATACATGAGAAATATACATAGAGTTCTACTTCAATGTATTGGAGGCAGCATACAGCCACTGCTTACTCGACCATCTGCAGCAAAAAGAATTGAAAGCATTCCAAATACCTGGCCACGGGAGCACTTGCCAAATAGACTTAATGGAGAGAGCCAGACCAGTTAGTTTTCTTGCCCCGTGAAAAGATCTATAAGTACTATATATATAGTCATATGAGTAAAATATATTTTGTAACAGGATATACATCATTCGATACAATATATTTTATTTATAAAAAAAAAATTGGTGAATACTCTTAGTAGAAAGTTTTTAGGAGTGGAATATTTTGCTGTGCTCCAAGCTATTTTTATAAGATACTTGGAAAATAATCTAGTCACACTCATGTTTATACATATGAATATATAAAAGGTGTTTAAATCCTGTAAATAAATGTTTAAGATTCAAGTCTAGTTGGATTGCAAATATTAGGCAGACTCTAGTAAATAGAGAGAGAAAAACATTCATTTGCCCCAAAAATCTTTATATTTCTTTAATTCAAGTATTGGTTTAATAGTTAGTGGATATATTGAAAATATACTTGGATATTCTAGGATCTTTTACCATTAGCATCTTGTGTTTAAACATGCTCATAATTATAAATTTTCAATGTCCTAATTTAACCAATTGCATATACATAGTTAGTGGCCTAATAATATATGCTCATGTGGAGGATGCAATACCTCATTGAATGACCTTTTTTCACACAACACTGGTTTATGAATACCTCCTTTTCATCTTGGGTTTTGGACACATAAAATCACTAGGTGACAAAGGTTGAAGCATTGGTGGCTTCAAGGATCAAGTCACAGCAATGGACTTCTTAGAGGTGGCAGACAAATTTTCTAGGGAGACAAGGTGGTGATGGATTTCCAAGGATATGGGTGGGGCATAGGAAAAATGCCAACATTGAGATTCTATATTAGCAATAGAGTGTGTGGTATGTTTAATAAGCTGCTAGAGAGACATATGAGAAAAGTTAGAAGGAAAAGGAAGGAGGCCTCTCTCTAGTTTGCAGATGTGGAAACGGTAGAAATATATTTAATAAAACTAACTCTAGTATATATCCAACTTCAAGAAGATTTGTTAAATATGCAAGAGGTTGTGTATTACTCCTATCTATCATACATCCAAGGATTGAAGAAGCATTAAAGGCTTGATCAACATTTGATATAGTTACATAAATAACATTGCTAAATTGTAGCACATCTAAATTTAGAGCTAAACTCCAAGTCTGTTATACTATTAAATGGGGTCTGATGCATAGTTAATATCCCTTATGAGCACCAGTTCCCTATATCCAGCTCATGTATATAAAATGGTGTCAGATGGTATTTAGTATAATTTCAGCATACTGGTGGCATAATATGAAGAGGAAGGTACCCCAACTAAAGCAGCATAGACCTTGGGCTTAAACCTAAGTTGGACATAAAACAAGGAGTAACATAATTTTGTAAAAACAAAATTAATATTTCAAGTGGTCAACTATGCAATCTAACCAATCCTACACAAGTTGTTTTAGATTTACTAGAAAAGTCTTTATGTATACAATTAGAGTCAAAAACTCCAACAAAAAATGAATAAAAATCACTGAAACAATTCTTTTGATACCAAGTGTAGCACATTTAAATTTGGAGCCAAACTCTAAACCCATTACACTATGAAATGAGGGTTTGGGTATGCATTTAATATCCCTTATAAATATTAACTCTTTGTATCTAGGTTCTACATGCAAAATGGTGTCAGACGGTGTTTGGCACAATTTTGCAATACCAATAATCTAACACAAGGAGGAAAATACCCTATTGAGCGACATAACCTAACAAAAAATTAATGTCTCAAGTGGTTAGCCATGCAATCCAATCATTATCCCTATTATACATTTGGAACCTCCCAAATGTATTAATTAGTAACACACTTATGACCAATTATCTTATATGTTTTCAAACTAATATGCATAACTGTTAGAAATATATTTAATAAAATAATGAAAAACTTACTCTAGTATATATCCAACTTTAAGGAGATTTGTTAAATAGTATATTGTTTCTATCTATTACACATCCAAGGATTGGAGAAACATTAAAGGCTTGATCAACATATGATATAGCTATATAAATAACATTGCCAAATTGTAGTGCACCTAAATTTAGAGTTAAACTCCAAGTTTTTTGCATTATTAAATAAGGGTCTAGTACATACTCAATATCCTTTATAAGCACTAACTCCCTATATTCAACTCTTACATATAAAATAATGTTATATAATGTCTAGCATAATTTCAGCATACTAATGGTATAATATGAGGAGGAGGTACCCTATTGACTAGAGTAGCATAGACCTTGGGTTTAGACCCAAATCAAATGCAAAACAAAAAGCAATATAGCCTAGCAGAAGCCAAATTAATGTCTCAAGTGGTCGGCTATGCAATATAACTAATCCCACATGAGTTGCTTTGGATCTACTAGAAAAGTTTCTATGTATGCAACTATAGTTAAAAACTCCAACAAAAAATGAATAGGAATCATTGAGACAATTCCTTTGATACCAAATGTAACACACTTAAATTTAAAGCCAAATTTTAAGCCCATTGCACTATGAAATAAAGATTCAAGTATGCACTTAATATCCTTTATGAACACTAGCTCCCCATATCTAGCTCTTATATACAAAATAGTGTCAGATAGTAATTAACACAATTTCGGCATACATATGGCTTAAAGCGAGAAGGAAAATACCCCACCGACTAAACAACATAGAGCTTGGGCTTAAACCCAAGCTAGACATAGAACAAAAAGTGATATAACCTAGTAGAAAATTAATATCTCGAGTGGTTAGCTATACAACCTAACCACTATTTCTACTATACATTAAAACCCCTTGCGATATTTGAGGAATTAGTTTTAATATCAAGTGGGTTCTCAACACTAACAAGTGCAAGTTAACAATATAAAATTCTCATCACTATGCTAAGTATACTTGATTTAATGACAACTTATCATTCTTTAGTGCCCTTTTGGTTTTAGTTTCTCAATTAGCTTGGGAAGAGATTATAAGAGGAACCAACAATATCAACCTCTTGCTATTATAGCAGTAAGGAGAGAGTATTTATAAAGATTGGCTAATAAGTATCTTTTGATACTCGAAGTTATATTTGCAACACAAATGAAAATAATAAATCTAAATATAGTGATAGATAAATAATATTAAGGCTAGAGTCACTTCTTACATAAAGATT